GTACTGTCAACAAGCGCCAGAACAAAGCGTTGACAGAGATTAACTAGATGTACTGTCAACAAGCACCAGAACAAAGCGTTGACAGAGATTAACTGGATTGTACTGGTCTGTCAACAAGCACCAGAACAAAGCGTTGACAGAGATTAACTGGATGTACTGTCAACAAGCACCAGAACAAAGCGTTGACAGAGATTAACTGGATGTACTGTCAACAAGCACCAGAACAAAGCGTTGACAGAGATTAACTGGATGTACTGTCAAACAAGCACCAGAAACAAAGCGTTGACAGAGATTAACTGGATGTACTGTCAACAAGCACCAGAACAAAGCGTTGACAGAGATTAACTGGATGTACTGTCAACAAGCACCAGAACAAAGAGCTGACAGAGATTAACTGGATGTACTGTCAACAAGCACCAGAACAAAGTGTTGACAGAGATTAACTGGATGTACTGTCAACAAGCACCAGAACAAAGCGTTGACAGAGATTAACTGGATGTACTGTCAACAAGCACCAGAACAAAGCGTTGACAGAGATTAACTGGATGTACTGTCAACAAGCACCAGAACAAAGCGTTGACAGAGATTAACTGGATGTACTGTCAACAAGCACCAAAACAAAGCGTTGACAGAGATTAACTGGATGTACTGTCAACAAGCACCAAAACAAAGAGTTGACAGAGATTAACTGGATGCACGGTCAAGCACCAACACAAAAAGCTGACCGACATGTACATGGGCGCTGAATCCGCAGTCCTAACCCCAGGGGACTCGCCCCCCTCCATTTCCAATAAGTTTAGAGGCGCTGAGCCGATTAATCCCCCACTCAGTCCCATTTGATTTCCTCTCCATCCACTCTACCAGGGTAAGAAAGTAAGTGCCGCCCCCCCCCCCCCCCCAAGAAAACCATGTTCAGTTTTTAAAGTATGTTTAACACATTTCAGTTTTTTTTTTCTGTTTGCTTGCCACGCGTACATAGTTTAAAAAAATAGTGATGATAGTAATAACAACCTATTCAAATCATTATTATTAGGCACTTAAACACGGCTTCAGCCTTTGAAGCCCCTAAAAAACTATAAGGGGTTGAACCCACTCCCACCTCCCGAAACTGATTGCTTTGTGGCGGCGTGGCTGTTTGTAACGTAGGGCACGAATCTGTAGAAAATAAATAGTCGTTGTTATCAATGTTATAAAGGCCTTCTACACCGATTCCCGCTGCCTTGTTAGAACGGAATCTGGTAACTCTGATTGGTTCCCAGTAGAAACAGGCGTGAAACAAGGATGTGTCTTGTCACCAATGCTTTTCGGAATAGCACTCGATTGGGTCATGCGCAAATGCACACAGGACACACATCTAGGCATCAAATGGGTCGACAAAGTTCTCGAAGATCTTGACTTTGCTGACGACCTAGCACTCCTGAGCACAACACATCTAGAAGCTCAGGAAAAAATGGACAGCCTCCAGAATATTTCAAGCCAAATCGGCCTTCAGGTCAACGCAGCCAAAACGAAAATCATCGATCTTACCAACGAGTCGAAAGACATCAAACTAAAGGATATTGTTCTTGAAAAAATCACCAGCTTCACATACTTAGGGAGCAAGATAACCTCTGCGGGAGATACAACATCAGAAATAACGACTCGAATCGCGTTAGCATCAAGTGCCTTTGGAAGTCAAGATCACTCAGCAACAACACGAAACTTAAGGTCTTCAATTCCTGTGTGATCCCAGTGCTAACTTATGGTTGTGAGAGTTGGAAATCATCAGTATCAATCGATAAGAAACTAGTCGCTTTCGAGAATAGATGCCTCCGAAAGCTATTGAATGTTCACTGGTCTGACTTTAGGTCCAATACATCTATAAGACAGGAAACAAAACAAAAATATGTGTCTGATTTTATTAGAAAGCGTCGCTGGAATTACATCGGTCACGTACTCAGAATGGACATACAGAGACTTCCCCACCAAGCCTTCATATGGTCACCAGAGGGTAAAAGAAAACAGGGAAGACCAAAAGAAACTCTCCGTAGAACCATCACAAGGGAGAGCTCAACCATAGGTCTCAGTCGCACTCAAGACCTACATCAAGTGGCAAAGAACCGACAGATGTGGAAAGCTATGACCTCTGCCCTATGCGCCATCTTTGGCACAAGAGGAATAACTAACTAACTAACTAACTATCAATGTAACCTTTCGCCCACAAGTTCAATACCGCGTAGTGATTCTTGCGGGTTGTGGTTTTTACCCTCCATCTTCTTGTCTTGATCTATGAAGATCTGAGTCAAATCTTTTCTTACCACAACTTGCGCCCCTTTGGCTGCATCGTATTTTCTGCATGTTGAGTTCAATTAGGTGGGATAGGCCATTCAGGTACTTCTAACATCACTGGCCAATCGTACACAATTATTAGCTTAAATGTAAACTTTTGGTGAAACGTTCCATTGTGGTTGCCTTGGTGGGGTTCAGCCAATTGATATCTCCGGTATTTGAGGTTCATGTAAGCTGCGCCAAACCGGCCCCCTTGGCTTCCACAAATGAGCAGAAACAAAGGAAACCTACCGTTTTATCAGCCATAGTTCGATTGTTGGGGAGGGAGGGGGGATTACCCCGTCCCTCCCCTTCTCAAGCATGTCGTAAGAGTCAATAATTAGGACTGTAACCTTCGAAGTCGAAGTGCATTTACCTGAGAGGCGAGGAACTAACAGTCTGCATGCAAATAAGTCACATATATAAAACGGATACGTACGCATAATTCAGATTTTGGAACAAGACATTATTAAGTCCAAAAGTTGATGAACAATTATAACTGTATATTGGAGTTTACAGCCGATGGACGCGAAGAAGAGGATGAAGAGGTCAACCCCAAGTAGCGACGTCAGTTCGGGGAGGAGTGGGGAAAAGGGGAGGGCGGGCCGGGGGTGGGGGGCAAGGATTTAGTCATCCCACTGAGTAGGGAGTGGGGAAAAGGGGAGGGCGGGCCGGGGATGGGGGGCAAGGATTTAGTCATCCCACTGAGTAGGCAGTCCGTCAGTCTATACAAGTACAGAGTAGACATGTCAGCAACATCTTTCACTATGTCAAACAATCAAGAGCCTTCTCCATAACATAAGCTGAATATAATGGATGTCAGATATCTTCAACCTCTGACTTTGGTTGCATACACTGACAGGTCTGTTAGCCTTCTGTTAACAGCATCCTACCGTGTGTATCGCTGTTTGCCTTTTGTTCGTAGCCTTCAGTGTTCCATTGATCGTTCGGTTTGTCCCCTCCATGCTCCTACCGACAAGTTGACCATACTATCCTGAGATTTAAAAATCTCTGTCTGGGCGATAGACCAACAAGGCAGATCCCAGATACCCAGTTCAATCTCCAAAAAGGTTATAGTTATGGCACAGGTAACGACCACATCAGCTTGGAGTGACCCGCAGTCGTATGTGGTGAACGACCTCAGTTCAATGTTTTCCCCAAGTATAGTTTTATTTGAGTGCCATTTCTTGAATGCCAGTTTCAACTACAGAATCTCACATTGTCATTGACCGTTCCCAGGGCAGGCTGGTAAAGAAGGAGGGTTGAGCTTAGCGTTAGCTATAAAATTAAGATCTTGCTGGCGAAACTCGCATAAAAGAACTCCCTTTTGACAAATTAAATTGCCACGTTTGTGTGATATATTTTCTGTTTTCTCCAGTATTATCCCGATTTTCCTGTCACGATCAATTGTCTAGGTGAGCAAATCACCATTGTTAGACCAGCCAGGGCGGCGATAGACTGCGCTACTTAAATGAATGACAGATTAGGAAGATGACCAATTTTCCGGTCTGGTGGTCATCGTTGGTAGTCTGGGTTCCTGGAGCTCGGGTGCTAAGTAGTAATAGTTGGTAGACTGGGTTTCTGGGGCTGGGAGCGCTAAGTAGTTATCCTAGGTAGACTGGGTTCCTGGCGCTAAGTAGTTATAGTTGGTAGACTGGGTTCCTGGGGCTGGGAGCGCTATATAGTTATCCTGGGTAGACTGGGTTCCTGGGGCTCGGGCGCTAAGTAGTTATAGTTGGTAGACTGGGTTCCTGGGACTGGGAGCGCTAAGTGGTTATAATTGGTCGACTGGGTTCCTGGGGCTCGGGCGCTAAGTAGTAATAGTTGATAGACTGGGTTCCTGGGGCTGGGAGCGCTAAGGAGTGAGTAATGCATATAGCTCTATTATTAGTAACTAACTTACCCCTGTGCGAGTGTGTGTGTGTGTATGGGTGTGTGATTGTAATTATTTGGAAATGACACCGGTCATCCGCTTAAAACAAAATAAATAAAAGTCTACATGGCTATGAATCAAATATATATTCATTATTTTCAGAAGGGATTAGTAATATTCTTGAAGACGCATGTGTGTATGTGTCACGTTTTCATTGTCCCATTCAACAATGGTTTCATTCAACCATTGAATTCCCGCCGAGTCACGGCCCAACATAGAGCCTTTTACTATAAATGGTTGTGGGAAAATATTCCAGTCACGTGGTTTCTACATGAATGAACGGCTGGGCCCAGGTTTTTCACCATGACGTCATGTATACACAAAAGTCAAAACATGAAACCGCATTTTTATCTGTTCGTGAGGATTACTTTGTTGAGGCCAATTAGAGAAATTCCTCTCACCGGCACGCGTTCACTTCCGACTGCTCCTCCGAAAAACGAAAACAAGACTGAAAAAATAAAAAAAACCGACGCAAACATCGATTTCTCTGAGCCTGCGCAGGTCTCCCGCTTTGGCATGTCACGCGGTCTACGGGCTTGGCCAATGGAAAGCAAGCTAGTTTTGGCCGGAAAGGATCAATACGCCCATTCAAGTCCTGGACTAGATTTCATTCATAACCCAGCTCGGCACGTGAACACCGGCAGAAGCTACTACTAGACATGGACTGTGTGTGATTGTGGTTTGTGTTATTTCTAATGGTGTAGGGGAAAAAGTTTACTTGTAGAATTTCGTTGTCCGAGCTGCTGATTCTTTTGCTGAAATGGAAACAGTGTGTGGATTAAACGTGACAGAAGTAACTAAGGCCTTGGCTTCAAATACTGGACACCAGCTTCTGATCATCGACTGCCGCTCATTCATGGCTTTCAACCAAGGCCATATCTTGGAGTCTGTGAACATCCATTGTCCGCCGATATTGAAGCGACGGTCGGGAGGTTTTATAGCTCTAGAACACATCGTTCCGTGTGAGGGCAAACGTTCTCAGCTTCTCAGTGGCTCATTTTCTAACGTGGTTGTCTACGACGACAACACACAGGAACTCAGCCAGGTTGCCGGAGACTCCAATTTATTATCTGTGATAAAGAGTTTACTCAAGCAAGTTGATAGACTCACCGTGCGCTTTATTATAGGTAAGTTATATTGTTTCATTTATATCACAACACACACCTTAGTTGGTGTACCTGCTACAACGTCATCGTTGGGTGCTTTAACTTTTTTTTTTCTGTTGAACGGATGGGACATGCTTGACATCCGAATAGTGTCTCCTTGAATCACCTAATGTTATTCTTTCAGTATGTCAGTCCTAGAGAAGGACATTGCTTTGAAGCTTCAGGAACTGGAGAATGTCCTCGCCGAACAGATGTACCTTCACTTTTAGTTGTCTTACTGTTTTTGACCTAACTAGTCTAGATGTGTACAGAAAAGGCGATTGGACTTGGGGAAGGGAGACAGAACACGGGAATTGAACTCTAGATCAGCAGTCTGCGTAAGACGGATATTGCAGAACGACCAGGTCGTAATGCCAGGTTCGATCCCAGCTGCGGCCCTTGCGTTGGTTTCGACAGTGGTAATGCCAGGTTCGATCCCAGCTGCGGCCCTTGCGTTGGTTTCGACAGTGGTAATGCCAGGTTCGATCCCAGCTGCGGCCCTTGCGTTGGTTTTCGACAGTGGTAATGCCAGGTTCGATCCCAGCTGCGGCCCTTGCGTTGGTTTCGACAGTGGTAATGCCAGGTTCGATCCCAGCTGCGGCCCTTGCGTTGGTTTCGACAGTGGTAATGCCAGGTTCGATCCCAGCTGCGGCCCTTGCGTTGGTTTCGACAGTGGTAATGCCAGGTTCGATCCCAGCTGCGGCCCTTGTGTTGGTTTCGACAGTGGTAATGCCAGGTTCGATCCCAGCTGCGGCCCTTGTGTTGGTTTTTGACAGTGGTATCGAGAAGCAGAAAGAAATGGCAAACTACTGGACGTGAACTTGTCTAGAAAAACAACAGCGTAAAAATGATGGGTTTGGTTCTGTAACGTCCTGTAAAGGATAAGCAACTAACTTTTTCAACCAGGTCGCAATGTATAGGGATTAATAATGTCGGACCACCACGCACGTTAAATAGTTAACTCCCTACACGCTGTGTCTTTATCTCTGTCTGTCTCTCTCTCTCTCTCTCTCTGTCTCTCTCTCTCTCCCTCGCTGTGGTGGTGCGGTGTTTGTTTACAATGTTGTCTTCACAGCATAAAATCAGGTGACGAGTTCCATTTTGTCCTGTGGTTTTTTTTCCCTCAGGGCTTTAAAAGCAAGTCTTTGGCTTAGCTTAGGCGCTGCGAACATGTTTCGTAATGCTTACATGTCGGGTCCAATCCCAGCTCAGGCGATGTGCCAGCAGACGTTGGTTTCGACAGTGGAATCGAGAACCGACTGTTCAATAGCACTAGTAGGGATTACAGCTGTAGGGATTACAGTTGTAGGGATTCTGTAACTTTGTGTAAGGGATACAGTTCGGAAGAGTGCCTAAAGTTGTTATAGGTTAAGGTCGTCTGTGGTGTTTGTTGTGTATAGATTATGTTGCTACAGCACGGTATATGTTCTGTATAGTTTTCGTTGCTACAGCACAGCACCTGCTCTGTGTAGTTTATGTTGATACAAAAAAGGAATATGTTCTGTATAGTTTATGTTGTTACAGCTTGGTATATGTTCTGTATAGTTTATGTTGCTGCAGTTAGGGTATCTGTTGTGTGTATTTTATATCGGTACAATCACAATGGTGTTATTATAATATAACCTCTTTTTGTTCTGTTCTCTCTTGAAGTTGCTAATGTAGCTCTTTATTTCCTACATTTGTGAGTTCATGCTTCAAACAGTGGTTGTTGTGTTGTAGTTTACAGCTAGGATGCAGTATCTGCGCCTTTCCTCCAATCTGATTTCAACAGACAATCAGTTAGTTGCCTTTTACGGCTTGCTTGTTAAGGAACAGCCCCCCCCCCCCCCCATTCAAATGGGGCATCGAAATCCACAGGGGAACAAATTTTGACATAATATTGCTTTACTTCTTGGATAAAACTGAATGGGCTTCTGCACACACAGGGAAGTTGTACGTTTGCCCTAGATCGTCCTTGCTTATTGGGAGTGGAGTGTGTTCAAACCTTATACTATAAAGTCCAAACAAAGGTATTGATTAAGCATTGCCATATATATATGTGTGTGTGTAACTGTACATTGTCGCTATTATATATAATATATATATATATATATATATATATATATATATATATATATATATATGTATGTAACTACATTGTTGCTATTATATATATATATATATATATATATATATATATATATATATATATATATATATATATATATATGTAACTACATTGTTGCTATTATATATATATATATATATATATATATATATATATATATATATATATTATATATATATATATATATATAATAGCGACAATGTACAGTTACACACACACATATATATATGGCAAAGCCACTGTGGCTTGCCGGGCCTCCGATGTGGTCACTCTAATTCTCCAGAAACACAAGGAACAGTCCACTAGTATCCGCTGACAACAGGGGTGAAGCTGCACTGAGTTCAGAAACGATGACCTGACGCCATAATACTGAAGTAGTCATCCCTGCAGCGTATGAAGTGCGTTTATTGTAACCTTGTCTATGAAATAACAAGTCACTTGACCTCACCTGTAGAATGCCTGGCTGAAGAAACTACATGCACTGATTCTGGATGTAGAGAACTACACGTACTGACTTTAGATGTAGGGAACTACACGTACTGACTTTAGATGTAGGGAACTACACGTACTGACTTTAGATGTAGGGAACTACACGTACTGACTTTAGATGTAGGGAACTACACGTACTGACTTTAGATGTAGGGAACTACACGTGCTGACTTTAGATGTAGGGAACTACACGTACTGACTTTAGATGTAGAGAACTACACGTACAGACTTTAGATGTAGAGAACTACACGTACAGACTTTAGATGTAGAGAACTACACGTACTGACTTTAGATGTAGAGAACTACACGTACAGACTTTAGATGTAGAGAACTACACGTACTGACTTTAGATGTAGAGAACTACACGTACTGACTTTAGATGTAGGGAACTACACGCACTGACTTTAGATTAGAGAACTACATGTGCTTACTTTGCATGTAATGATAGAGCACTGCGGCTCTCGAATTGCAGTGTTGTGCATCGATTGAAGACGCACATCCTTGTCTTAGAGCGTAGTTTTGTCTCTGTCATTCAGCTCACAAGCACCGTTGAGTCTGTATGTATTTTAAAATATTCGGTGTCTACCTTATTCTGGACACCTCGTATAACCAAATATGGCCACGACCCTTCCTTTAATCGCACATGGATGTGTACAGTTTGTGGCTGAGGAGCCCAGTTATACAGACGGACTCTGAATTATAATTTAAAAAAAAATCTCTTGTTTTAAAAAGCGTATCAATAAATTAAGAACTTTATTTTGAGAAGGGTCACTAAATGAGCAGACACACGTGCAAAGCTGTTGGGGGGGGGGGGGGTGGAGGTAGTCCGGATCGCGACATGTATAGCGCGTGGACTGACTAGAGAAACTGGAAAACTCAGTGAGAAATGTTTAATTTTTTTAGAAATGAGTCAAAGGAATACATTTAATGCTCAGAGGGAATTGGTCACCTCATCTCTTTAGAGGGGATGTGCAGTGTTTGTGAAAACAAATCACCATATCTCTTTTTAGGGGATGTGCAGTGTTTGTGAAAACACATCACCTTATCTCTTTAGAGGGGATGTGCAGTGTTTGTGAAAACACTTAACATCATAAAGGCAGTCCTCCGTGTGCGTTCCGGGGCCCTACTATCGGAAAACACAAGAATAGACCCACTGCCTACCCAAAAGCATGTCGTAAGAGTCGACTAATTGGGAGCGTCCTTCGAAGTCGGAGTGCATCTGCCTGAGAGGCAAGGAACCAACAGTCTGCATACCGATCTGTCAAACGGATGCACACGCAACACTCAGGTTCTGGAACAAGACTGCAGTCCAGAAGTGGACGAACAACCAGAACTTTCCGCCGGAGTTTACAGCTGGTGAACAAGAGGAAGAAGAAGAATAAAGGCGGTGGTTGTCATAACATTACATTTTTTAATAAGTGGCATCACCATGATTGGTTCTGAATCCGATTACAACTTGGCTTGAAAACAACAACTAATCAGATATATTTAGTTTTTTCTTTGGGGGGGGGGGGTGGGTGTTACATAACCACACATACTGCCCTTGTAAAAACATGAATGTTTGAACAGACTTTCTTACCGATTTGTTGTTTCTGCAATTATGGCATATTTATACAGTGCATAAAATCACACACAAACGCACAATGTGTTCAACAAGGAAAGAAAATAAAAGACATACGTTCAGGCGACAGAGATTTAGAGATTGGAGTCTCTATTCAACCTTGTCTCTGACAAGAAATCGTTCCCTATAACTCCCAATAGAAGCCGGCACTCAACCACAGAGCCAATATTTGATAGACTTCACGCCCACGCAAGATCGATTTCTGCTCGAGGGCGGTGTGTGTGGGCGGACCAAGATGTCGGCCAACAGAAATCAGGTCAGTGGTTGTAGCCGTGCGGAGTTTACGTACAGGCGGGTGCTGGTGTCACTACACTTTAGCGATAGTGTTGCACGCACGGTACCAGGAATTCTTGATGTGGTTTACTCTGGCGGCTGACCTCATCTCGTAAACAGGACAGAACATTAACTAAGCGAGGCTGTTTGACAGTGGCTTCTGTTTTCACACTCGCCCACGCGCAAAGTGAGAACATGCAAATGTTGGTGCTTAAATGATTCCACACATCACACAATATATAACCACACACATACAAACACACACAATCTGTATAGTTCAGAAATATGAATGGGGAAAAAATAAACACGCTGTGTATGTATACCTCTGGCCATTATTATGTATGTTCATATATTTAAAACACTCCACGCTTATAGTTATAATTGGGGTCTGTTAGCGGTGACATACTTTGGAGGTTGTGATCTGTTAGCGGTGACATACTTTGGAGGTTGTGGTCTGTTAGCAGTGACATAATTTAGAGGTTGTGATCTGTT